ATTTTGATTGGAGACTGACAAAATAGTGATGTGTCGGTCGCAAACAAAATGGCTCTTAGAGCCGGGTCTTTGACGTGAACGACGTGAGTCGGCTCCTTATCGTGAGCCGTGGGTTTTTTTTTCTTATTCCTTCTCTCATCCTCTCTCGCACTTTTTTCCGCTTCACTCCACACGCGAGTCTTGTGTTTTGTGCTGGGAAGAGGGGGAGGGGCGGTAGTTACACTGGCAGTAGCACAGGAACAGAGCGGGAGGGAAAGAGAGAGAAAGAGAGCCAGGGACACCAACGTCACATTAGAAAGGTATAGTAATCATCCACAACTATTTTCAGTTGCAGATGATAAAGGATTCAGAAAGTTTATTCATGCAGGCTCATATGACAGAGAATATGCATGTTCTTTTTGTTTTCATATTTTAATTTATATTTAATTGTGTTGTGGTTTGCAGCATTTTGTGTTTTGTGTTTCACTTTAAATTTGTTTAAAAGGAAAAAGCTGAAAATTTAAATCAGAATCAGAATCAGAATCAGAAAGGGTTTATTGCCAGATGTTGAGCAGGTTTACAACATTAGGAAATTGCTGCAGCTAAATAGTTAAAAGTTGAAATGTGAATAGTTGGTTTCTGTATTATATGATTTATTTATTACATTTTATGTGGAGTGAATAAATAAAAGTATATTTACGGTGGCCCCTAGAGACAAAGCACTTACAAACACGTACGCACTTCGAAGCACGTACAAACTCAAAAACACGTAAAAACTCAGAAGCACATAAAAACTCAAAACACGTGCAAAACACAAAAGAAGTGCTCCAGGATGCTAGGCGCAGTGTTGAGCTTTTGTTACCTAGTGGCTACACAAGCCAGCAAGTACCAACGACCGGATTTGGTGTGTGGTAGTAACAGGTAAATGAACATTTTTTTTAAATTATTTGAATATATATGAGTGCTTGTGTATAAATACACAAACAATACACATATGCTTTCAATTGTGTAATTTAAGTCAACCTTTTTTGCGCCACGGACCGGTTTATGCCCGACAATATTTTCACGGACCGACCTTTAAGGTGTCGCGGATAAATACAACAAAATAAAACTAGTACCGGTACCGAAAAAAAGAAGATTTATTCATAACACACGTGAAAAGACCCAGGAAAACCGAGTTAACGATAAAAACGATAACAAAATAACTGTCAGGGTCCCTGTGCCTACCCGGTCGGCTCAGTATGGCTACATATGTTTTGTATTCTTTTTTTTATTTTTTCCCGGCTCTCTCCCTTCCCCTCTTTCCCTCCTCCCTCTGCCTGGGCGGAGCTCACCTGTGGGCTCCTGCCCTTGGCCCACGCACCTGTGGCTCATCACGAGTGATCCAGCTCCTTTATAAGATGGCAGCCCTGTGTTTCTCGTCGCTGGACCGTTGCCGACCCTCGTCAGTGTAACCCCAGCTCAATTACT